TTTTCGCACTTCTCCAGTCCAGAGTTTGTACACTGAGTCCCATGAACCCTCTCTTCACCTCCCATCATTTGCAACTTTCTCTACAATATGCTACTAAGCTTCGATCCTTACCACGGCATCCCACCTGGGATTGTGTTTTTCTTCCTCGAGGGGAATGCTCTTTCAGAACAGACGGTCTGCTATTCCTCCATTTGGCATTCGTATCCGGGCATTACTGGCTGAATTGGGTCTGGCATTGGATGACATTGCTGTCCCCAATGATCAGCTCATTCTACCATGGCTTATTACCATCCCATCCTGTGACCTTTCCTTGATTCATCTGGGGAAGGCGGATACTCCTGATTGGAAGTACCGTCTTCTTTTTGCTGAACATCTTTCGAACCATTCCTCTCTTCCCATTTACACGGATGGTTTGAAATCAGGTGAACTCTGTAGGTTCTGCCATGGTTTGCTGTGGCTCGGTAGCTGCTCGCAGGATCCCCTTTACAGTTTCTGTGTTCACTGCTGAGTTATGTGCTATTTCTCTTGCCCTGGATCATGTAGAAGCTATGCAGTACAGTAATTGTACTATTTACACTGATTCTCGTAGCTCTCTATTGGCCCTGGAATCGCTTAACATTAGTTCTCACTCTGTTCTCGTTGATATTCAACACCGATTGGCCCACTTTTCGCTGTCTTCTATTTCCATCCAGTTTTTCTGGATCCCTAGCCACGTCGGTATTCACGGGAACGAGCTCGCTGACACCGCAGCTAAGTCCGTCTGCTCTGGTGCCATCACGGCCATGCATGTCCCATACATGGACTACGGTCCTGTCTTCAAGGCGTGGCTTCGTGCCAGTTGGCAGTCGATTTAGAGTGAGCAACGCCATAATAAGCTTTTCCAGATCAAACCTTCTGTTGGTCTTTGGCCGTCTTGCTTCCGTAAGGATCGAAAGGAGGAAGTAGTCCTGGCAAGGCTACGCATTGGTCATAGTTTTTTAACCCATCATTTTCTTTTATCGGGTATTGACCCACCGATGTGTAGCCATTGTGACACTCAAGTCACAATAGCCCACATTTTACTGTCATGCCATCGTAATGACGGCATCATTTTAGACACATTTTATCTAAAAGTTTACCCCTGACGCTGGACAGTGTTATTGGTAATGGTGACACTGTCCGATTAGATTGTATTTTGTATTTTTTACACACTATAGGTATTTTTAATTCTGTATACATCTTTTATCGACATGTATTGGTTTTAACTTGCTGTATTTTTACCTTTTACATTAATTTACATGCTTTGTTTTTACCAGTTGTTTGGCGCAGATAGCCTTGCTGCTTTGTGCCATAAAACACCAACCAACCAACCAACTCTTTGACTACAAGATAGGTGAAAAGTAATGATGAGATTCATCATACTAATTATTACTAGAACTTTTGATAATATGTGCATATCGTCACAGTTTCTCAGATTATCCCTAAACATCATGATGCTTTTGTACACAAAAATTCAAAATTTTTAATTAAGTATTTTAATTAAAGATTTGCTCATGAATTTTTGCATTTAGAATGTTATTATCAAACATGCAAAGTGATTTTGATTTTAAGATTAAAAATACTTTTCTTGATCTGAAAATTGTCAAATTTCATTTGCATAATTTGTAAAATCTCCTAAATAAGTATCAAACAGTTTTTTTTTTTTCATTAAACTTATATTTTATTTCTTATTTTCTATAGTCTAACTTCATAAGAGGTTGGTCTATTTGACATTGTAACCACCATAAAAAATTAGGAAATAGATTTAAATTACCCTTTTTTTGTCTAAAATGACTGTATATTGTAACAGGCTAGTGGTGAACAAAAAAGTTCACATGCACTAAATCAGGAATGCTAGATGTCAGAAGAGATTGGAAAATTTTAACATTTACTGATCATCCTATCAGTAAATAATGTGAATATTTAGTAACCCAAGTTAGTCTAGAATAAACCAGAGAGCACTAGATTCTGGGAGTCAACCTTAGTCTTTGTGGGCTGGGATACAATACCAGCAAAAAAGTTTCATTTTCTCCTCTCATCTCTGCATACAACATAAAAAGTATCTCCTGCCTCAGAGACCTCATGACCACTAGCTGATCTTAAGTGCTAAATTTTGTGGTTCATAGCATTTAATACAAGTGTCAAATGTTTTGTACATTTTCGCTATATTCACCAGTATTAGAAGTTTGTGCTTCATCTTGTTACACAACATGTTATGCCCAAGCTATATCTTGTCTTTCATTTGTTCCTTCCAAAGCTGCTGATTGGTCACTGGTAAAGTTTACCCATTTATGAGATCATCACTGCATATATTATTTGTTGATGCTGTTGCTGCCATAGGCTTCATAGCTGCATGATACTTATAATATTATAGTATTTTTCAGCTAACAGGGGCTTCTTGGATGTCAGTTATTAGAACTTGTTTCCCTTTGAGTACCAACTGTTGTAAGGATTGCTTAAGAAAAGAAACAAGACATAAAATTCCAAATACAAATAACAAATATTTAATCACAAAAGAACAAGTTACAATATGATAATACACAAGTGCCAAATAAAGGTATGAGACCAGCAAGGGCTACAATGAAGACTTTAATAAAAGAACTACTCTTGTTTGTCTGTGTTCCCTCCCCTCATAAATTCAACCAAACCCTGAATAAAATACTAAAAAAAGAATAACCATTCAAGTTAAATAAAAGCCACTGTTAAGTAAAATATTAAACATTTGTTAAATTAAAAACACCTACTTATTTAACTTCTTGTTCCATGGTCTCTCAGAAATGAGAGACAGATGAATTTACTGTAGTTCACAAACTTTGTTCACTTATGGCAAATGTAAACAATGAAAATAAAAGTAAGAACTTTACTCATACTCTGGAAGGTAAAATTAAAAAGATATTACAATATCCTTTGTGAGAGCTATACAAGATATACTGATATTATATTTGTGATTCTGTATGTGAGATCTTTAAGATCTCTCACTAAAAGTTAAATGAAAGTGAAATTACACATCACTCTGGTGCAAGAGCTATACGAGTTCTTCGGTAAAGTTAAATAAAACATAATTTACACGTGTATTTAAATCTGAGCTCCTAAGTATAACCATAAATCTCAGTTTGTTAATACAAGGAAGACCACAATCTGCATTCTTGGCATGGAGACAAATGAATCAGCTTTTGTCTGATTCACTGACAAGAATAGTGTCAAAAAGAGGAACTATGAAAAACAAAATAATGTAGAAATTTTACTTGTTAACTAAGTGGGTGGAAAACATACGTCTCTGTACTATAATCTGAACAATCAATAAGTGGACAAGCTCTTACCATTTAGTAGGTCAGCCCATCTGTGTTATGCTGCTGCCCTGGATAAAGCTGAATAACAGTGACCAGTCACATCTTTATTATTTTTGAAGCTCATATGTCATTTACTTGTTGAAGGGTTTACTTGAATAGTGAACTTACTACCACACAAGTAGTATCCATAATTGCAAACTACCACGTGTCTAAATCTAACAGTAATATGACTGTCAGAGCAAGTATAGTATAGCTTGATTTGTAGACAGAAAATAATATTTTTTATGTTAGTTAATTCACTACATCACACAGTGTAAATACTAAGACTGAGTTACTTGTAATCAATGAAATACTTAGATATTTAGTGACATTGTTTACCATTTTATGGGCTTGAGAGGCTAGTGCTAGATAGTTTTACCACATAGCTGTAGATGAAATGTTTTTCACCTTTATCTATTGGAACTTAAATGTAGTGAACTTTGAAGTAATTTTTACAGTATTTCAAGTATTACCTTACGTAAAAATGGTCTTGCATGAAACAACCTAGTTGTTGGACTTCTTTATTATTTTTTAAAAAAATGAAAAAAATATTGGTGGGAAAATTGAGTCAACAGGTAGAAACAATTTGCACATGAACTTGTGGAGATCGTAATGTTTTATGAGATTACAGTTAGTGTTGAGTACTATAGCAAACATTATCTGGCATATAACCAGTTGTTAATATTTGGCAACATTTACTAGTATTTGGACTTGAAATATTGTCACCAACTCCTCATTAGCACACACTAATTAATATTCTGTATGTTACTTTTTCTTCATCTAATCACAAAAAAATGAAGAAAATAATGCTTTTTTTATTTAACAATGTGGTAGTTCTTAGAGATTTTTGTTCCATTCTTTGTTTAAGGGTGCAGGAAGTTAAATATATGGAACAGAGAAGCTGTACTTCAGTACACTGCTGAGGAAGTTGATGGCTTAGAACATCCATTGGATTGGAGGTAAAGAATATTGATAAGATTTGGTAAAGCAGTTACCCTTGAAATATCACGGGATACAACATGTATGTAGTATTGCACCAGTTAAGATTTTCTTGGCCCATATTGATAGGTGATGATTACCAAACTATATTGGCCAACACCAATATTTAGTTGTACTGCAAGTAAGGTACTTTAAGTTACTGAAATTAAGTAAAATTTAACCTATAGCTGATTTTTTTTTTTCAGGTTGGCTTTGTAGCAAAGATTCACAAATAGTATTTTCTTAGTGATTTAGTTCAGAAAAATAATTAACAAATACTAGTCATAAAAACGTTTAAAAAATACTGCATTAGTGTTTCTAGAAATACTCAGCAAAATAAAATGCATACATGTATATTAACTTTTGAATTGTAACTGTACCTTTCTTCAGTTTTTAGCAGAAACTTTACAGATGTAAGCATGATTATTAACTTCACAAAAAAAGTCAGCATAAAACTATTCAGTTTGTCAAATTCAGCCCAACAACTTTGCTACATCAGAGAACAAAAGACAACTTTCAGCTTTAAAACACATCATGAATATGGAGGGATATATCCAACATGATGCAGCCTCAGATTTTTTTCTGTGAATCATCAATCACATAAAGACAATCACGTGGAATAAATTAATTGTTCTGATTGATGGTTTTGATTTGAAAATATGTGGTTTTATCTGTTAAACTTTCTTTCTCAGTGGTGAACCCATATTTGTTTGTATGTAAAATTATGTGATTTAAAGTTGATTTTTCACGAACAATTTGTGTACAAACTTTAACATATGTATATATATAATGTCATAAGTTTTCCACTTTTTTTTACAGGCCATCTGGTAACCTCATAACTTCTTCACAGACAAAGCTAAACAAACATGACATTGTCTTTTTTGAAAAGAATGGCCTTCGACATGGAGAATTCACTCTTCCATTTCCTCCAGGATCTTTCAAGGTGGGAAGAAAAGTTTTTATAAATATATATATATATAAAATCTTTGAAGTAAAACCACTTTCAAAATGACAAGAAGTCTTGACCTGTAATCCACTTAACTCCTAAAATCAGAGACAATTATTTGAAGTAAGTTCATAAGATAATGCACACTAGAAAACAATGTTACTTTGCATGTTTAAAATTATAACTGTAGAGAAAAAAACAGCAAAATGTGTGTAATTTTCTGCAGAAAATAACACTGTGACATAAGTTTCTGAAGTTTATAAAAAAATTTTAAATGGTGAGAATATTCTTGAGCAGTATTATCAGTAAATACTAGAAAATATCATTATGACATGATGTAAAATAATCAACAAGAATGTCATTTATTGTTACAGAAGTGATCTTTTGTTTGAACGAATTATAGTGAATTTAATTTTATTCAAATTTTACAGTAATCTAAAATATAATCCATAAGACACTTGAGGTTTCTGTTGTGTCCTACTGGAAAAACCAAAACCTTTCATGTTTTTGAGTCTTGTTAAACCACTATAGATGTAGTCTTTGAAAAATACAAAGTGCTAAGCGTGTAGATTTATGAAACATCGGTTTCAAATGATGAGAAAACCAGTAAGATGTAAATCACTTGTACCAATAAAAATACTACTTGAACTTAATTTATTTTCCTAAGGGAATTTGAATTTTCTTTTTTTAATGCATTTGCCATCTTATTCAATACCATATATTTTGTACTTTCTATTTATTTATTAGTGGTTTAATTCTTTCTTTTACAAATTCTTCAAGATAGCTACACATTTTTTTGTTTATTTTTTCTTTCATTGTCATCCAAGTTTATACAATTTCTTTGCTGTTTAATCTCTTCATATTCTTTCTTTCTTTCTTTGTTTTGCATTTCATTCACTTCCATATGTGTTCCATTGTTTCTTGTCTTTTGTTACAGGATGTATATTTCTGATCTTGTAGACTCTTCCATCTTTTCTGTCCTCTATGAATATTTCTTCATCTTAATCTGATCCATTATTTAATATATTTTATTTTTTATCATTCTTTTAAATATTCATCTCTCAAATTTATTCTTTGATCTTTTAATAATATGTGCAATATTAAAATACATTGTTTTTCTGCTATTCCAATTCTTCTGGATATTTTCTCTTATTCTTATTCTTCTCTTATTTTCATTATTTCTGTACTTCCAATACCTCTCAGTACTCTTCTCATCTCCATCCTTTATTGATTCTTCCTATTATTTTTAATTCCTCTTACTGTCTCCATTAACCCTCTCACTATGGGTGTGTGTATGTCACAACCTTTTAGAGAGTTACATTCAAAATTGAATTAACCTACTTTATTATCAGTGTATATGAATAAATTTTAATATTCCAAAACATACATACCGGGAGGTACTGATATGAAATTTCATTCTAAAATGGGATTTTCTGGGGAGAATTTAGACTTCCAGTTTCCTCCTCCTTTCACTAGAGCTTCCTATCCTGAGGACCCATCTGATCAGCCACTTTCTGCCCCTTTTCTGCAGTTAGTTGCACATGTTTGTGAAGTATTAGAAATGCAACCAATTGCTTTTGAGTCTACCCCTCCTTTATTGTCCAATCGTTCTTAAGGGGAGTACTTAGTTTTTCCTCCTTCTCCTGATATTGCTGTGCATGCAGGGAGGTTTGCAACACAATTATATGAGGGTATCACTATGCCTCCCCCCCCCCTCGTTTATCTGAACAACATGCCCTAGCATATTATTGTCAGGATGATATATATTTGGACACTCAAAGGTTTGATCCATTGTTGGGTCTATGAGGTGCCAGGTATGAACCTGTTATCTCTGTTAACAGGTCACAATTTTTGCAGATTTGTTTGAATCTTACTACTGTTTTAAGATACTTCTCTTCCCTTCAACTTTTGTCTGAAGCATATTACTGAACACCTCAACTATTTTACGACAAACTGGGCCTTTTACTGGTCATTGCTATGACACGTTTGTCCTCTTCAGGACTTACCTTGGTGTTATGGTTGGTCTGTTGCTGGGACTTGTTGAGTAGTGATGCATTTTTGGAGGGTATTCACTTACCTTCTTCTGCCCTTCAAGATTTACAGGAAGTGTCTTTATTTATCTATCCAATCTGTTCACTTCTTTTCAAAATTTTCTTATTGTGCTATTCTTTCTTATCTTCTCACATGTTGTAATGTGCTAAATATTCAGCTCCAATATAATAACTTACCTCCACTCACTAAACAGCTTTCTTCAATTTGTACTGCCCTCTATATGTTTTCCACATGGCATACCTGCATTGTAGCATGCAACAATCCTCCACCAATAGGAGTGTCACACTCCCTCCTAATGCAGCTGACTCCCTCTGTGCAGAAGAACCTAGCCTTCACTTCTCAGTTTGCATAACCGTGATCAGTCCACACTTGGTTCCTTTGTTGTTGGGGCTTCTTAGGTAGGGACACTCTCTTAACTCACGTGCATCTCCCTATACCTCTTTGCATGCTTTATGCATGGTCCCCTTTTTATGCCAAACAGTTTTTGGGGGGTCTTCCTGACTCTTTGTAGTCGAGAGTGGAATCTGTCCATTTACATCCTTCCTTCTCCTCTCTAGCCTCTCATTTATCACAACCTTCACCTGCTCCTGTTACTGTGTTACTCCCTTACCTTTTCCTTTCTCACAAATCATGTCTTTGCTGTGTACTATTATTCTCCACTGACTTCACACGTTGCCAGTGGAAAAGGTGACTGTCATATTGGATTAGGTCTAATAGGGGCCAGATTGCTGCTTTTTGTGAATGTTGGGGAGTTGTGTACCACCAATCCTTGGGTTCTTCAGGTCTTATCGGAAAGATTCTCCCTTTGTTTCCTTTCCTCTTCCTTTCCTCCCAGTTGGGATCCTCTGTCCAGCTATCATTGTTCAGGATATTTTACTCAGGGGTGTTATAGAACCTGTAGTTCCTACTCTTCCTGGTTTCTATTTACCTCTTTTTGTAGTCCCCAAGAAAACTGGAGATTGGCACCATTTTATTGATCTCTGCCTTCTGAATCACTATTTGAAAGTTCCTCGGTTCACCATGGAGTCTCTCCTGTTTCTTAGATGGGCTTTTACTCCAGATCTTTGGATGACAAAGCTCAATGTGTCAGATGCTTCCATATTCCTACTTCCTTAGCATTATCTTCTCTTTGTCCACGGGGACCATACATATCAGTTTTGGGCTGGCCTCAGCCCCTACATATTTTGTTGGGTGGTCAAAGCCTTCACCTGATTTCTTCATTCACATGGGCTTCATTTCCATCATCATATGGATGATTGGCTATTTCTAGCTCTTTTGCTTTGTCCTCTTCCATCAACACACAATTTCTTCTTAAAGAAGCTGCATATGTAGGTTGGATGGACAAGGTGGAAAATTCTGTCCTCATACTGATTTAATACCTCATTCATCTTGAGGTATTCTTCAACTCCCACCTCAGTCAGGCCCAATCTTCTTCCCTACAACTGTGCTCCATTGAGTTTAAGACTTAGAAGGTGCAATCCTCACCTTTTCTTCCTGCTTAAGAGGTTCTTTCTCTTTTGGAGACTTGGGCTTTGTTGGAGGCTGTTATTCCCCTTGGCTGAACCCATGTGCAGTCTCTTCAATGGATTTTTCAGGATCAGCAGAACCTCACCAGAGATTCCTTGGATTACCTAGCATCTCTTCCTCCAGACCGATTTTGTCTAGTGGCTAGACAGGGACAACACAACAGCTGGTGAACCTCTTCTTCCTCCACGATCGAAGGTACATATTTCTGTGGATGCTTCTCTGGGAAGTGTAGTGCGATGCCCAAGAGATCTTGAGCCATTGGTGTTCAATCAAGTCAAGTTTCCACACCAATATTCTGCAACTCTTGGCTATTTGTCAGGCAATGGATAATTTCTTCCCAACTTTTGGGGCAAAACAGTAATGATCCACTTCTTCAACTTGACTGTTGTCTCTTACATCACTTGTCAAAGGGGCACCCGGTCGCGGTTACTGAATCTTCACACATTGTACATGCTCTTCCGGGCCCACAACCGTCACATTCATTTGCTGACCTGTCATATCCCAGGTACTCTTAACTTTGTCAGGATCAATTATCTCGTCCCAACTAGGTTCTCCCCACGGAGTGGTCCCTCGATCCTCAGATTTTCAGGTGGCTATGCTCTTGATTGGATACTCCACAACTGGATGCATTTTCCATCCATCTGATTCTAAAACTCCCTCTATATTTTGCTCCTGCTCCTCATCCTTCAGCTTTGGTAATAAATGCCCTCAGTCCAGATTGAACAGACCTCCACATTTATGCCTATCCCCCCTCCCATCTGTTTTCTTCCTAGGGTCCGTTCCATTATCTAAACTACTCTGTGTTGAGTCTTCCTAGTAGCTCCATTCTGGCCAATAAAAACCAGGTTTTCATCTGCTTCTCCCTCTTCAGCTGTCACCACCATTACCTCTTCCTCTTTCAGCAGTGATTTATTTTTTTCTGTCCATTCCCACCCTTTGATTTTGTGTGTGGTTTTTGTCCGGTCTCTTGTGCGACATTCCAGATATTCCAACCAGCTAGCATTTCTTCTTTTCCACTCTATCTGCACCTTTTCCTTGTCCTTATACCAACTAAGTGGCATATTTTTCACCTTTGGTCTATTCATTGGGAATTTATTCTTTCCCCTCCTTCTGTCCCTCACCTATATGAATTTTTACCTGGCTTTTCAATAATGTTTTTTTTGTTTTGACCAGTGCTGGTTATAGAGCCATGTTATTGTCTATGTTTCATTTTTCCTGATTCTGCCATATTTTTTCCTCTCCTGTTATTTCCCTCTTGTTTTATTCTTTTCATCTCCCTCATTGTACTTGACCTACTCCCTTGCCAGATTGGTGTTGGTCATGTTTGGTTATGCACACATGATGGCTTGGGCTCTTGGAACAGAAGTACTTCTTCCCCTCTGGTTCCTGAATCTGAGGTGAATGGTAGAGGACCTTCT